TGCTGAATCATCACAAATACTGCAGAAGACCTACTGGAACCAGCATGGAGCTAAAATTCTCACAGATATCAGTCAAGTTTGGTGAAGGAGAAATCACGGTCTGGGGTTACATTCAGTGTGGGGGCATGCGAGAGATCTGCAACATCAACAGCCTGAGGTATCAAGACATTTGTGCTGCCCATTACATTACAAACCACAGGAGAGGCACAATTCTCCAGCAGGATAGCGCTCCTGCTCATACTTCAGCCTCCACATCAAAGCTCCTGAAAGCAAAGAAGGTCAAGCTGTTCCAGGATTGGCCAGCCCAGTCACCAGATATGAACATTATTGAGCACGTCTGGGGTAAGATGGTGGAGGCATTGAAGATGAACACAGATACTCTTAAATGCTCTGGGAGTCCTGCAGGAACGCTTTCTTCTTCATTCCAGATGACTTTATTAATCAGTGAGTGATGTGAGTCATGTCAGAGATGTATGGATGCAGTCCTCCAAGCTCATGATGGAGTCAGACACAATATTCATTCTGTCTCCACTGCAGCAGGACTTTATATTCTATACTGGACATTATTTCTGTTCAGTGATGAGACTTTAGCCTAAGCAGAGTCAGACCGCACTGTCCCAATAAAATCGTTTAAAATCAAGGCATGATCAGATTTTATTGAGCTCAAATAAGCGTCATCTAGAGGCCTTTGCCTTTCATATAAGCCACATCTGATGCCAAATGATCAACTAGAAGTCAACATATGTAGTTCCTTAAACTTGGATAAGCAACAAGACTTTTGTCAGGTAGTGTATGTGTTTTCCCATCCTCTGTTTAACACAAGAAAAACAACACTGAAAAGCAGCCGCCATTGACTTCCATTGTATTTTTATTTCTACTATGCAAGTCAATGGCTGCTTTTCCCCCAACATTCTTCTAAATATCTTGTTTTGTGTTCAACACAGGAAACGTTTAGAACCATTCACCATCATCGGTGTCATTATGAGTGCGGTAAATAACTGGATGAAGACTACGAGCAGGGTGAATGTAGTGTTTTATTGGATTTATTGATTGTTTGGATGGTGGAGTCATGCGGGGTCTCCAGATGAAGACTGATGTTTGTCGGCTTCAGGCAGAAAGAGCAAGAGTACAAATCAGATTGACATGAAATAACAGAGAGAATACATGAAGACGACAGAAGAAGACACAATCCTGATAATACTTTACAGTAAGACCTCACGTGAGTAACACTGTATTCTGATAGTCAGTTTTGAACATCCTGTTGACAATAAGACGCACCTACAGAACTCATTTACATTAGTACTATTAGGGCTGCACTATATATTGCAATATTATCGATATGATAGTATATGTAATATACTGATAAATTAGATTTATGCATTGGTTATTTATTGAAATTTGACTAATCAGATAGGGCCTTGATATCTTTAGCCACGCCTCCCCTGTATTTGCTGTTCTGCTATTGGCTGGAGCAACACAAAGCTGAACCCAGAGCTAAAAATAAACGCCAACAGGCGGAGTCAAGGCAGGAGAGGAAAATGACAACAGCCAATCAAAGTCTGAGGTTCATTCCCTGTGTTTTAAAGAGATTTTTAGTGTGAATGAGCTCTGAAAATATCTTTAACCTGCTTACTTTAAGGTAAATGCATACATTTCAAATCAAAGCCAATGAAAATAGCAGTTTTCTAGCGAAGTGTTATATTATAGGAACTATTGTTATCGCTATACTCAACAACACAGTCTTAATTAGTAATTTATATTATAATACCGTCTTCATTTCCTTGTTCATACCTTTAAGTTTTTCTTCGTCTATTGAACACAATAGCAGATACTCTGAAGGAAGCTGTATATAAATAAATAGCCATTGACTTGCACAGTATTTATGTTCCTGCTATGGATGTCAATGGCTGCTTTTTCCCCCAACATTCTTCAAAATATCTTGTTTTTTGTGTGTGTTTAATAGAAGCAAAAAACTGAGTTGAGCAAGTTAGTCAAATGTCAGTTTCTGGGGGTGAACTGTGCCTTTAATTTCGCATTAACATCCCCCAATAGACATTATACACGAGTAACTCGAGTAATTTTAGTATTATTTTTAGTATTATGTCTATTGTTTGTTTTCTCTCTTTTTATATTGCTGCTGGTCTCTGTGAGTTACCAAACAAATTTCGTTGTATAACTACAATGACAATAAAAGTTCTTTACTTTAAATCTTTACTCATGCAAGTACAGGTAAACCCATTCAAACCCCACCAGAATACCATTACTGCACGCACAGTCTGTAGATGCAACATTACGGAGTCAACAGAATGTGTTAAAGAGCCATCAAAACCAAGTGAACACCTCATTTGTTACCATCAGTTAATGCAAGTTAACTAACAAGACACAGCAATGAGCAAAGCATGTGCTAATATTTCATTTTACAGCGTATTGGTTACGTTACATGTGTTAAACATCATTACAGGCAATGGAAACACTCTTTTAAGGTGTCCTTGTTTCACATTGCATGTACTTACTATAGCAATAACAATTAATTATGCATAATTACACATGCATCTAACCCTAAACACTGCACATTTCCCCCCTGAACATATAGTGAGTACATGTAATTAATTAATATCAGCCAGTGGTCACATGAATAGTTGCACAGTTAAAAGGACACCTTAAAATAAAGTGACCAAAGCAACGGATCATAACCCAAACCTGTACAAGCTGTTCAAGTAATCAGCACTGTCTAATTACAACTCAGTTCATTTATATAGTGCTTTTACAATGTAGATTGTGTTAATTACACCATAAAGACACTAAAATAATTGGTAAAACTGCACAATAAAAGCGCCAAGTTAATAAAGAGAAACGCATTAAAGTAGGGATGCACAATATATCGGTTCAGCATCGATATTGCAATATTCACATCGCAGGACGTCAAGCAATTTCAAGTGATTTTAAACCATTTTGACGCATGAAATTATAACGTTTGCCACTTTAACAGAGATTATTAAAGTCATTATGCAATGAAGATTATAGGACAGGGGTGTCAAACTTACTTTAGCTCAGGGGCCACATGGAGGAAAATCTGCTCCCAGGTGAGCAAGACTGGTAAAATCATGGTATAAATAACTTAAAAACAACAACTTCTGATCGTTTTCTTTGTTTTAATATAGGGTCAACATGAAACAAAGCTAGCTGGAGCCTGAGGACGACACAATCTCACGGCAATTTGTAACTTTTTAATTAGTGGCTATTTCATATGAATTTGTACATCTCATTTGAACATTTTAGTACGATTTACTAATCCACCAATGACGGTTGGGTTTAGGAGTGTGGTTGGGAGCAACGCCTCCTTTTTTATATAGTACATTTTCATACGACTGAAGTATGTTTATACCAGGGATGTCAAACTCAATTCCTAAAGGGCCGCAGCTCTGCGCAGTTTAGTTCCAATTTAGTTCAGTTTTAGTTTAGTTTAGTTCACACTTACCTGCAGGTTTCAAACAAGCCTGAAGGACTCAATGAGTTTGATCAGGTGTGTTTAATTAGGGTTGGAACTAAACTGCCATAATAATAATTGCAATTAGATATTTTGCCCAAATCACACAGCCCTGGCATTTAAGATGCATGAAGACTCCCTTTAATGACACTCTCAGTGCATCAACTAGTATTAACATTTGAATTTATGATCATTTTACAATCAGACTTCACTAGTTCATAACATAATACTTGTTCAGAATCAAGTTAACCATAGTTCAACATTTAATAATGCAGAATAAAAATACAAAGTTGTGCTTGTTAACGCTAGTTAATGCACTGAATTAACATAAATGGCTTTATTTTGATTGACTAACATTAACAAAGATGAACTATATATATATATATATATATATATATATATATATATATATGTGTGTGTGTGTATATATATATATATATATGTATGTATGTATGTATGTATATGTATGTATGTATGTATGTATATATACGTATATATACGTGTATGTGTGTGTGTATATATATATATATATATATATATATATATATATATATATATATATATATATATATATATATATATGTGTGTGTGTGTGTGTGTGTGTGTGTGTATGTATATATATCTATATATATATATATATATGTGTGTGTGTGTGTGTGTGTGTGTGTGTATGTATATATATCTATATATATATATATATGTGTGTGTGTGTGTGTGTGTGTGTGTGTATGTATATATATATATATATATATATATATATATATATATATATATATATATATATATATATATATATATATATATATATATATATATATATATATATATATATACACACATGTGTGTAAAAGCATCTTTTAAACTTTAGATCTGTAGTGTCAGCTTTTTGCCGGGTGTATGTGGGCGGAGTAATACACAAAGGGTAAAGAGGCTGTAGGAGTTCTGATATTGCAGAATATTGCACGGCTATCAGCCAATCAGATTCGAGAACCAGACAGAACTGTTGTATATATATGTGTAATATATATATATATATATATATATATATATATAAATAAATATAGAACAAATTGTTCATCATTTGTTCATGTTAGTAAATACATTAACTAATAATGTGACTTTTTTGTAAGTGTGACAGATTGTATTAACCTATTTTTTAATTTGAAAGCATCACTCATTGCTAGTTAATGTTAAATAACGCACTAAACCACAGGTAACAAATGAAAAAATCTTATTAGCTATGTTTTCAAGCAAAGATGCAAAATAAATGCATGCGCAAAACTGAACTATTGCATGAAGCATGTTCACAATTTCCATCCAATCAGTCAAAGAGAACAAAATCGTCACTTATAAACTGGTGGCAAATGCCTTTCTGCATGTGCATTTTCCAAATTGCCATTATTTTTAATGCAATAATCTGCATAAACATATCTGGATGAAAACATAGCTGCTGAAAAGCCCGACCAAAATCCTCATCTAGACGTTGCGCTTCATATTCCACTGAAGAAAAATCACGAATGCATGTGTTTTAATGAGAAACGTCTTGGTTTTCAAAACACAAAGTCGTTCTCGAAGACGAACACAGGAGAGCTGTATGGCTTGATAGCATTATTTCTGCAGCAGCCTTTGAGTAAGAGGGTTGCATTCATTTCTCAAAAGCGTTATAAGCCAGCCACTAAAACACAGACGGAGAAATCCATGGCTTTAAAACAGACATTTCTGCCACATACGGCGTGTGTTTCTACTCTCGGCCATCCTGTCAGACAAATAAACCTCTGATAACGATCACTAATCTCAACCCAAACCACCAGATCAACACTGAGAAACAAAACGGACATCAGAAAGCAGATTCTCCAGGGAGCAAACAGGTAGTAAAAGCCAAACCTTTCTGCAAACTCCTTACTGGCATCATATATAAAGATCTAAGTGTAAAGTTAATAATAATAATAATAAAAAAACCTTAAGATTAAAAAAAATAAAACCAACTAAAAATATACAGTATCAGTCAAAAGGTTTGGAATAATTCAATCATATTTGTGAATCATCTCTTCTGCTCTGCAAGGCATTCATTCCATCAAAAAGGCAGTAAAAATAGCAATATTTGAACAGAACTCAATATTGTAGGATATAATAAGTGATTTAAATCATGGTTGTCTACTTTATTATGTTCTGTATTTTTGTAATACAAAGATTAATTCATTCATTAGGTAATTAAAACAATTTCAGCATAATCACTTAAGTGTTTAGTCACACGATCCTTCAGAAATCAATCTATATTTTACATAAAGATAAAAAAATATAATCATCAAGGTTGAAAACTGTTCATTTCAGATAAGTCTGATTCAAAAAAACATTATGAATGTCTTTACAAATAATAAAACAAATGCTATAATCCCTATCTGTCAGTGAATTGTTAGTGAAACTAAAACTTGATGGATTTTGATGGTCAATTCCGATTTTGTGTCTGTATCCGATTGTTTTGCTGACCTGCTTACATCATCTATTAAAAGTGTCTCGTATCCGATCGTCTGCATTTACACAGCACACGGCAAAGGCGCAATGACCAGGAGAAAAAAAAGAGCAGGCGCTGACTAACAGCTGATAATTAAAGAGTGCTCTTTCCTCTATTCCTGCATGTAATCTGCTCGCAGCTTTTGACGTGCTGTTTTACTGTAGTTTATGACAGAAATGTTCTCAATTGGCCATCTTCTTTTGATATATTGGCTTTTTAAACCTTTAGGCATACTAATGTAATGTCCTTGGCGTGATTTATGCACGTGATGCAGCTATGCACTAGTTTTATATTAGTTTATATTGGTTACGTGGCGGACACTGCGCTCTCCAGCATGCTTAAATACCTGTACTATATGACAATATGAAAGCTGTTTAAGTCCACGTGTAGGAGATTTAAGAGTTGGGACTCTGCTGAAGTCTGTTCTGAAATGAAAGCATCAGACTTGACTTCATTCGCTGAGGTTTTTAATGATGCTCGACTCGCATTGACAGGTGAAAATCCGATCTACCTGCTTACATGGGCCATGTCCGATCTGTGCCACATGAGAGAAACGAATCGGAAATGAGTCACTTGAACAGTGGAGTGTAAATGCGGCTAAAAGGCAGCATTATTAATTCTTTTATGAGCTATCATAAATAAATGTGCATAAATCAGTGTATTAAAATAGTTTCTGAAGGATCATGTGACTAAAAAGCTATTTTAGCATCATTACTCTAGTATTTAATCACACACTATAATAGATTCACTAAGAAAGCATGATAATAAACGATAATATCTTTTTACTGTATTTTCAACCGAACAAAAGAGCAGAAGAGACGCATCACTTCTTAAACATTCCTCCAAACTAGCGTAGATGGTCAGAGAAGTGAGAGAAGGACAGGATAAAAGAAAGAAAAGCAGAGGAGAGAGAGATGGAGAGATGGAGAAACAGCGCTGAGCATCTGAACTCTCCCTGAGCAGAGATGAAGGAGAAACAAACGGACAGACAGAAGGGTTGAGCATGGGAACGCTGAATCTCACTGCTTTTCTTCCTCAGCATCTTGTGGTGCTGTTTTACTCTGTTCCTCCCCTGAAAAACACAAACAAGCCTTTGTTATTTAAAGTTGACGTTGATGGATTAATCCACACACTGAAACACAAACTCCACACTTTACTGAATCCCAGTTGGTAACGCTTTACTTGAAGAGGTGTTCATAAGACCATCATAAAGCCTTTAGACTCATGACATCATGAATGTGAATAAGATTTCATGCATGCTTATGACAACTCTTACTGAGTGTCATTTGGCCAGCTAGGGTGCTTTCACACCTATAGATCGATTGTTTTGCTCTGAAACAGGGATTATTGTTGTTAATGTTAATATTAGTTCTTTGTGCACACAGCAACGTTTCTAAACAGACCGAAATAGTTCAAACCAGTCCTGCGCGAGTCAACTCTTCTCACATTGAGTTTGCTTTATTTCCCAGGATTCCGCTCAGCTGTCACACGTCCTTATTTTAATTTATGATGATAAGCAATGAGACATTATAAGCAGGAGCGATGCACTTTCATTTTAAATGGAGACACTGACAGTCACCACACATGAAGCAGAGGTAGTACTTATACATAGGCTCATTTCAATTGTCAAGATGTAAAACATATCGATTCTATATCAGAAGTCAAATAAAACAAAAAGTTATTGATATTATGCTTTTTTTTTGATAGTTCAGTTAGACAGCATGCTTTCACTTCCGTATTCGACATTACACACCTTTAATAGGTACACCTGTCTAACTGCTTGTTAACGCACACTTTTAATCAGCCGATCACATGGCAGCAACTCAATGCATTTAGACACATAGACATGGTCAAGACGATCTGCTGCAGTTCAAGCGGGCATCAGAATGGGGAAGAAAGGGGATTTAAGTGACTTTGAATGTGGCATGGTTGTTGGTGTCAGGCGGGCTGGATTGAGTATTTTAGAAACTGCTGATCTACTGGGATTTTCACGCACAACCATCTCTAGGGTTTACAGAGAATGGTCTGACGAAGAGAAAATGTCCAGTGAGCGGCAGTTCTGTGCGATTGTTGATGTCAGAGGAGAATGGCCAGACTGGTTCCAGCTGATAGAAAGGCAACAGTAACTCAAATAAGCACTCGTTACAACCGAGCTCTGCAGAAGAGCATCTCTGAACACACAACACGTCCAACCTTGAGGCGGATGGGCTACAGCAGCAGAAGAGCACACCGGGTGCCACTCCTGTCAGCTAAGAACAGGAAACTGAGGCTACAATTCACACAGACTCACCAAAACTGGACAATAGAAGATTGGAGAAGCGTTGAGTCTCCATTTCTGCTGACACATTCAGATGGTCGAGTCAGAATTTGGCATCAATAACATGAAAGCATGGATCCATCCTGCTTTATATCAGCGGTTCAGGCTGCTGGTGGTGGTGTAATGGTGTGGGGGGAGATTTTCTTGGCACACTTTGGGCTCATTAGTACCAATTGAGTATCGTGTTAACACCACAGCCTACCTGAGTATTGTTGCTGACCATGTCCATCCCTTTATGAGCACAGTGTCTCCATCTTCTGATGGCAGCAGGATAACGCACCATATCATAAAGCTCAATCATCTCAGACTGGTTTCTTGAACGTGACAATGAGTTCAAATGACTCAAATGACCTCCACAGTCACCAGAGCTCAATCCAATAGAGCACCTTTGGGATGTGGTGGAATGGGAGATTCACATCATGGATGTGCAGTCGACAAATCTGCAGCAACTGCGTGATGCTATCATGTCAGTATGGAGCAAAATCTCTGAGGAATATTTCCAGTACTTTGTTGAATCTATGCCACGGAGGATTAAGGCAGTTTTGAAGGCAAAAGGGGGTCCAACCCAGAACTAGAAAGGTGTACCTAATAAAGTGGCCGGTGAGTGGATATGCCTATTACAAAGCTATAATAAACTGTGATAAAGCCTGCTTTGTTCATTTGTTGGATCATATTGCTTTATCACTACATGCAAACCGCTTCAGAGTTTGTTTCAATCAAGCCGAGACCTCATTCAGGTGATCTCAGACCGGCTGTTTTGGTGCGGATTTGAGCACAACTGCAGGATTCACATACGGCCAAACCAACCGAGATAAGGAGACAAGCGTGCCCAAACAAACGTCTAGATGTGAAAGCACCCTTAAATGCAAAGATGACATTGTTTTTCATCACAACTTCACATAAGTAAATATGTTATCTTCATCATGACAACCTGACATTACCAAGACTGTCATAAATCTGTAAGTATTAAAAATTGATGCTTATCCTGAATTATTCCTTCCTTAATATTAGGCAGAACCATTTTCCCAATTCTACAATTACTTTTAAGACCTTCAACAACATCTGCTCATTACAGAGGTTTTATTCGATCCTCATGCAACAAACCATATGCAGAGAAACAAATGTTGATATTAGTAATCAACAGACAGCTATGTCAAGGATAAAAGCATCTTGTGACAGGTGTGTGTGTGTGTGTGAATAACACAGTTTCAGATGTGGCACATTAGCAGACAGTGAAGCACGAGATTGTATTTTAAGTCTTGCACTCAGTAGTGTTGTGAAAAAGGCACTCGCTCGCAAATGAGTTTTTCCCATGCAGAGTGAATGAAGAGAGAAACTCACAGCACTGGAGACTTACAGAGAAACGCAGGAGCTTTAAGCATCATCACAAGTCTGGAGAGATGATTAGAGAGGTTAGAGAAGTGTTTACTTGCAATCTGGGATTCGAAGCTAAAGCAGCTAGTGGGCAGGAAAATTGATCATTTTAAGGAAGACATTAGGCTTTGGATGAACTCTCTCTGTTTATGCTACAGCTATGCCCGTTTTTAACTGCTAGACGTTATATTTTAATATTACAAATCAACATCTTTTTAAATCTAGGCTTCCCACTGAAAGACAAATATTAAACTCCCTGACTAATAAGCTGAATTTCCATGTAATGAATAGAAAAACAGGCCGCAGTTGAGCTTAATTTGAATATCATATTATTAATATATATATATATATATATATATATATATATATATATATATATATATATATATATATATATATATGTTAACATAACGTAACATTACATGGGTTTTAGCTTGAATACCATTTGAGAACAATGGATATCTTTGAAAAATAAATCTGAGGTACGTCCTGCTTGTGTGGCGCTGAAATGCTCCCACACCTATATTTAAAAGCTCAATATTAGCTTTACAAATGTAACATTTAGCCTTAGGAAACAGGTTCAAGTTGGTGAATGCATTTGATTTCAGGTAACTTCCAGTGGACGAGCAATAAAGGAATAAAATGGAGCAAAAAATAGCATAACCATAACATTAGGCATAAAAAAAAATGGAATTAAAAATGATAAAGCAGCAAAGCAAACAAAAATCCCTAATATTCCATGACTAATATATATATATATATATATATATATATATATATATATATATATATATATATATATATATATATATATATATATATATATATAAAAAATTCCTAAACTTTTAATGTCCAGAATGCAGCTTTTAAAATTCCAAAAGCTGTGGCAAACCTGTAAATCCAATTTCGTTTTTGAATACCAAGAGTTTTAATTATCGTTTGTATTTGATTTGCATTTAATGGTAAAAATCAGATCAGGTTAATTTCCGTGTGCATTGGCCTATATGCAGGGCAAGTGTGTTTTCAACATCGGTGAAGAGGTTAATGTGACCATTTACAATTTCCCACGGTTCCTTTTGCAGCATTGATGTTGTAATGTAATTAAATATATTCAGTTCAACAGACTTCAGCATTCATGTAGTTGTTGAAGTGTAAAGCGAGGGGAAATGCCATTTAAACGCAGGAACAGCAACAGAAACTCCATTGAAAATACTGTGGTAAAATACATTTTTATATTTTAAAAGCATGGTGTGGAGCAATGTCGTTTAATGCGGTGTTTCTTGTACATTCTGAGACTTGATTTATATTTTCTCTCAATAAGGTAGTGAGAGAGTCGAGATTATTGTCGTATCAGTTTCTGTCAACCTTTCTATGATAAAAAATGTGTTGTGTGCGTCTCACCGTCCCCCTGGATGTCTGATGTCCAGAGCGTCAGGTTGTCCCGCAGCAGCTGCATGATGAGTGTGGAGTCTTTATAACTGTCCTCACTCAGTGTGTCCAGCTCCGCTATCGCATCATCAAACGCTGCCTTCGCCAACCTGATGGAGGAGGCCAGGACAGTCACAACCACATTCAATCAATTCAAGCTTATTCTAATAAAATGCTTATTTGCATAGCGATTCCCACAATAAATATTTCTTCAAAGCAGCTTTACAAAGGGTGCATTTTACTACATAATTACAATACTAATATAGTGTAATACAGTATATATTTCAGGGTTCAACGCTAAGGATTTTTTCTACTGGTCCGATCGGGCAAGTGGTTTAGATTTTTACTTGCCCTGCCAAAATTTTCACTGGCCCCACCAAAAAAAAGTAAAAAATAAAGTAAAATAAAAAGTCTGTAAATCTAGAATTTCAATACTTAAAAAACAATTGTAAATATAAGTGTTATGCAAACAAAAACAGCAGTATGGAAAACGTTGAGGCCTTTTATTGCAGTTTGAAATTATTTATCAAAAGGTGACTGACTTGTCAAACTGACGGCAAACTATAACATCACAAAATTTTTATTTTATCGTGTTGTTTCCATGTAAATGTCTACCTCCAACACGTTAGAGACAGACATTTTCGTTTAGCCTTATAATTTGATGTTGCTGACATGTTGCTGTTTCTACGCTGTACTGGTTGTTACCAGGTAACAAAAAAAAAATAGCGTGGTTAAATCAATCATATAAGACGAATCGGAAAGCAGTATGTTGTTTACGACATTACCGAGAAGGTAGCATTTAAAGACTTAAAAGCACAAGCTTTAAATGCACGCAATTGACAAATAGTCAGACAAATTAAATGTTAGCGACTGACAAGGCAGCACTGTCCCAATCAGGCCAGTAATGATCCGGTCTACTGTCCCAAGTGTTTCTCACACTGGCCCTGGGCCACCGGGCAGTCCTTATTGTTGAGCCCTGTCTTTATAGTGTATAGTGCTAATATAGTGTATAGTTATTACTATACACTTTCTGATTTTGATTGTAATGTAAAGCAGCTTTACTTTTAATTGAAATGTTAAATTCTGGCTGAACAATCCCATTAATGTGGGACAGATGAAGGTTTAACACCAAACAAACATTTCACATTTGACGTGAGGAGAAAAAGCAGGAGTACCTGCACGCGCGGTCAGGGGAATTGAGGATCTCGTAGTAGAAGACGGAGAAGTTGAGCGCGAGGCCGAGCCTGATGGGATGTGTGGGTGGGAGTTCGGTCATGGCGATGTCACTTGCCGCTTTATACGCCACCAAACTGTTCTCCGCCGCTTCCTTACGGTCGTTACCTGTGGCGAACTCTGCCAGATACCTGTGATAGTCCCCTTTCCTGAAAACACACGCATTCAAAACACACAAGTCAGTCGCCTGCTCTTTAAAAGGGCAGTTCACACAAACAGCGCCAGAGCCAATCACAGACCTTTCTGTTAAGAGTGACCAATCACAATAGTGTAAGAACTCGCTCGACAAGGCTCAGAAAGCGAGCAAGATATTTATATTAGTTCATTTGCTATTAACGCTCATGTTGTTCTGTGATGTACTTGAGTTTTTAAAGGTACAGTTCATATTTCTGACTGCTTATATTAAAGGACAAATTGTATTACAAATCATATATAAATATATTTATACATTTTAATACAAGAATTGTTGTGCTGTGAAGTAAAATATCAAATTGTGTATGGAAAGCATCGTCACTGCACTGAGATATCGAACTGAACCGAATTGATGGCATGATAATCGTACTATGAGACCACCTCTATTACTTATGCTATTTTATGCATTTAAAAAAAAGTAAACTACATTTTTTTTACTCAAAATAAAATAATAACGAAATAATTAAAATACTAAACTTTAAAAGTATTTACACAAGAGTAAAATGGCATGACAAACAGCAAAAATAAAAAAAACAGCATGATCCTATTACAATTCACACAATGCAATTATTCACAGATTTCTCCAGTAAGCATTCATTTTTTTAAGTGCAAATGTCTAAATCTACCAAAAAAGACAAATGCGATTCAAGTTTGATATCATATAAAACAAACAGAACACATGTAACTCAGTCCAAAATGTTCTGAAAGACCTAGAAAGACTTGAAATTGTCAGACACCTACATTTTGTAGTAGAAAACTTTGGATTCTCCGGTGTTTGCTGCAGGAATGAGGTGTTTGTCCAGTACATCCAGTATGTCGTTACAAATAGATTTCAGCTCATTCTCAACCTGCAGAATGTAAGAGGAGATATGGCAGAGTAATTATGCTGTCATATACACACAGATCACATTTCAGGTTAAGAAAGAAACTGCTCAAAATAACACGGCAGGGCTCACCACTTATTTAAAAACAGAATAACCTTATAGCTATAGAAAAATACATAAAATATATATAGTAATCGTATTTGATTTTAAGTTATTGCCAGAACAACATTTATAAGCAACATCAATAAACTGAAAATATAGAGATCTTTAAAAATTTTTTTAAACATATAACATTTTTTACACAATTTCATTGTACCTCGAAACTAAAATAACACTGATTCAAGAATTAAAGGTATTCATTTTTCAGGTGATACATTATTTGAAATTGTTTAAACTTGCCTAGAGCGCCATCAGCTGGTGAAAACTATCCCAGAGTACCGTCTGCTGCTAAAAACTAGCCTAGAGCGCCATCTGCTGTTAAACACTAGCCTAGAGCGCCGTCTGCTGTTAAACACTAGCCTAGAGCGCCGTCTGCTGTTAAACACTAACCTAGAGCACCATCTGCTGTTAAACACTAGACTAGAGCGCCGTCTGCTGTTAAACACTAGCCTAGAGCACCATCTGCTGTTAAACACTAGACTAGAGCGCCGTCTGCTGTTAAACACTAGCCTAGAGCACCATCTGCTGTTAAACACTAGACTAGAGCGCCGTCTGCTGTTAAACACTAGCCTAGAGCGCCGTCTGCTGTTAAACACTAACCTAGAGCACCATCTGCTGTTAAACACTAGACTAGAGCGCCGTCTGCTGTTAAACACTAGCCTAGAGCACCATCTGCTGTTAAACACTAGACTAGAGCGCCGTCTGCTGTTAAACACTAGCCTAGAGGGCCATCTGCTGTTAAACACTAGCCTAGAGCGCCGTCTGCTGTTAAACACTAACCTAGAGCACCATCTGCTGTTAAACACTAGACTAGAGCGCCGTCTGCTGTTAAACACTAGCCTAGAGGGCCATCTGCTGTTAAACACTAGCCTAGAGCGCCGTCTGCTGTTAAACACTAACCTAGAGCGCCATCTGCTGTTAAACACTAGGCTAGAGCGCCGTCTGCTGTTAAAAACTAGCCTAGAGCGCCGTCTGCTGTTAAAAACTAGCCTAGAGCGCCGTCTGCTGTTAAAAACTAGCCTAGAGCGCCATCTGCTGTTAAACACTAGCCTAGAGCGCCGTCTGCTGTTAAACACTAGCCTAGAGCGCCGTCTGCTGTTAAACACTAACCTAGAGCACCATCTGCTGTTAAACACTAGACTAGAGCGCCGTCTGCTGTTAAACACTAGCCTAGAGGGCCATCTGCTGTTAAACACTAGCCTAGAGCGCCATCTGCTGTTAAACACTAGCCTAGAGCGCCGTCTGCTATTAAAAACTAGCCTAGAGCGCCGTCTGCTGTTAAAAACTAGCCTAAAGCACCATCTGCTGTTAAACACTAGCCTAGAGCACCATCTGCTGTTAAACACTAGCCTAGAGCACCATCTGCTGTTAAACACTAGCCTAGCGCACCATCTGCTGTTAAACACTAGCCTAGAGCGCCGTCTGCTTTTAATCACTAGCCTAGAGCGCCGTCTGCTGTTAAACACTAGCCTAGAGCGCCATCTACTGTTAAACACTAGCCTAGAGCACCATCTGCTGTTAAACACTAGCCTAGAGCGCCGTCTGCTTTTAATCACTAGCCTAGAGCACCATCTGCTGTTAAACACTAGCCTAGAGCGCCGTCTGCTTTTAATCACTAGCCTAGAGCGCCGTCTCCAGCTAAAAATAGCCTACAGCACCATCTACTGGTAAAAACTTTTAAAGGTCTGTTTGTTCCTGTGCTCCATCAAAGAGGAGTGGCGATGGAGCAGATCAAACCTTCACTCGCTCTCACCGTCTGTCTGTATTCTCGGATCATCTTGAGTTTGTCGGCTCCTCCTTTGCTCTCCTCTTTCTGCTCGATGCTGCTGATGATCCTCCAGGAGGCTCTTCTCGCACCGATCACGTTCTTATACGCCACCGACAACAGGTTTCTCTCCTCTACTGACAGATCCTCGTCCTTCCCTGCAACGTTCTTCATCGACTCTACCATTTCTGAAAAAAAAAAAGACAAGAATAATCATCACACAAAAAAACTTGTCGATGATCTGGATTCAAAGAGAAATAAAGTACTCTTCTGCTTCAGTTTATGAATGTAGACCGTAACATTATGCCAATGTCTCCGTCCAGATAGTGAAATAAAGAAAAACTATTTAATTAAAAGTGTACATGTTCATCCACTACCTGACTAAAGTCTATTTAAGTTTTAGGAACAACAAATTATAAGTTGACTTCTAGTTGATCATTTGGTATTAGAAATGACTCAAATGAAAGGCAAAAGGCCTCTAGATTTTGCTTATTTGAGCACAATAAAATCTGATCATGCCTTGATGTTGAATGACTTCATTAGGACAGTAAGGTCTGACTCTGCTTAGACTAAAGTCTCGTCACTGAACAGAAATAATGTCCAGTATAGAATATAAAGTCCTGCTGCAGTGGAGACAGAATGAATCGTGTCTGACTCCATCATGAGCTTGGAGGACTGCATCCATACATCTCTGACATGACTCAAATCACTGATTAATAAACTCATCTGGAATGAAGAAGAAAGCGTTCCTGCTGGACTCCCTGAGCTCATCAAGACTCTTTTGTGTTCATCTTCAACGCCTCCATCTTATCCCAGACATGCTTAATAATGTTCAAGTCTGGTGACTGGGCTGGCCAATCCTGGAGCAGCTTGACCTTCCTTGAAAAGGTGGTCTCGGTTTGCTTTCAAATGAACCCTGGAGCGGTTCGTTTGTGGTGAGAACATGATCCGAACTAAAACAGACCCAACCGCAAAAAGTACTGCGCCTCTTTGGACTAATCCAGCTGCCGTAGGCCGATGCGCTGTGCATTATGAGATGTAGAGGAAAAATCTTTGTTTGCAACAATTTTAAACAGAGACAAAGAGGGAGAGGGAAAAACATTACCTGATGGATCTTTGGTAATATTTCCGGAAGATGACCATGTCACAGTTTAGCTAAATTAATTCACGCCGCCTCCTAAAGTGACGTACGATGCATCTTTGCCATTTACAATGTTTTAATCCATTCTCGAAATTTATAGTTTATCCAAAGCAGAGGTCACCAATCTCGTTTCACACAATCAGGAAGCAAGCACAGTCATCCCTCCGAAGTCAAAAGCAACATTTTGTGTCTGCCGGTTTGTTTAATTTCTGTTGGCATTTTCCCGCACGTTAATTCTGACCAATCGAAAAGCATTTAAGGAAACATGTTCAACAACATCTGGTCTATGAGTGATGCGGGTTTTGTCAGATGACTGCATTTCGGTTCTTTTCAACTAGTTTGGATTAAAGTCAGTGTGGTGTGAAAACGACCCAAAGACGGCAGAAAACACTACAATGTTTCATTTATCAAATAAAGCAAACTACGGATGTGGAAGCAGTGTTGGAGATGACATATTATGCCCCTTTTTATTAAAATGTAAAATAATTCTCCAATGTCCCAAGAGTGTGTATGTGAAGCTTCAGCTCAAAATATCACACAAATAACGTTTTATAAGGCTTCGAACTTTCCCTCTTAGGTTTTGATCCTAATTGTGTCATTTTGGTGACTGTCGCTTTAAATTCAAATGAGATTGTGCACTTTTCGAAAGAGGGCGGAGCTACAGATGCCTGATGCATTGTGGCAGATTTAAAAACAAGACTTGGGTCATATGCTAATATTCAGGAAGAGGTGGTAACTAGTGGGCGTGGCTTTCCTCCTTGATGACATACAAAGTGAGAATGTCAATCAAAGTGTTTCTGCAGATTGTTTCAATAAAGTGTGATTACAAAAAAAAAATGTATTAATGTATATATATTTATTTGTATTAATATTTAATCATTAAAATGTGTTTAAACCCTTTATAAAAGTGATTTTTGCGTAACGGGTCCCCTTTAAACAGGTTATTAGTCCGTGAATGTAATGCACCCACGAAAATGAATTAGAGACACGCCCTGAAACAGACATGAGAGCTGACTCATTTAGCAACATCATATAAGGTCATTTATATAGCTACAAAACATGTTTAAACGGGTATTAAAGTAAAAAAAAAAACTAAACAAAATGGGAGTATATAAAAAGTAATTGAGGAACCAGGCTACATAATAACAAGCTTGATTCAGTCTAGTCAATTTAGTTCCCCTCACCTAATACATGAACTCAATTTGTTTATATTTTGACTATTTATGAGGTTTAAAATGTTAAATAATCTTTGAATTAAATAATCAATTTAATGAACAACTGTTAACCACACTAACGTTAGCAAGCGGCTTCAATCAATCTCAACCAGTTCGCGTAAACTAGTCCTTACAAATAAACCATTCATATGTGATGGACAGTTAGCAATGTGTTCATACACGACATTTACGTCAATATTATAATAATAAGACTCTAATAATAATTATATGTAAGCTCTGGCTGCGTTCAGCAATTCCAGGCCTTTCCAAACAGCAGCTCTATGGGATTTTTCTTCCCATTTCACGTGCAAAGAGAAACACGTGCTTGGTTTCTGTGCGTTCATCCCGCTAATTTAAGTCAAAAAACAAACATATCATCTTCAAACAGTTGTCATACTGCTATAATTAAAACGTGACATTACACAAACAGCTAAAAAATTTAACTCACCGTCGTATCTCTCCGCCTGTTCGGCTAGTTTAGCCTGGTAAACCAAATGCTCTCGATCTGCCATGGTTAGCCGGGGATCGGGAGGTGTGGAGCGGGTAAAGGTAGGCGGTGATGTCCGTTGGTTCCGATGGATGCAGAAGGTGCGATAGAGTAAATAAATATAATGTTTTAGAGAATGTGTTTGTGTTAAAGCGGTAGCTCAAATGTTCGTACTCAACCGGCGACCCTGCTCTAAATATGGCGGAGGAACTCCATCCGGGAAACTTCGACACACAGCAGCAGATCCTGCGCATTTCCTTCGCGACGGACTCGCCTTTTCCACACAATTACTATAGTAATTTACAGTGGATATACTGCAGTGTTTCTGAAGCATACTATTGCAAAGTACTAAAATTAATTTCTAAATGCTATGGTTAAACAGCTAACGTTTTAGTAACATAAATAAAATATCTAATACACGTAAGTTAGATTCCTACAACTATAGACTATATTATAAAATACTGTAGTATTTTTGAGCAATACTATAGTAAAGTACTTACATTTAAATAAAGGCTACAGTTATACAAAAACTATAGTAGTATAAACAATAAAAGTATTACATAAGTTTCTACAACTGTGTTATAACGAGTGTATTAAACCACATGGAAAATTACTATATAAAATCTGTTTTTGAACCATACTATAGTAAACTAATTGAATTTAACAAATGCTACGGTTTTGCAATTAACGTTATAGTTATATAAAGCAAATATCCAATACACTTATATTCCTACAACTATAGAGAATATTATTAAAAACACTATAGTTACTATAGTTAAATTAACAGTGTTTTTGAACCAGACTATAGTAAAATACTTTATAAAATGCTACGATTATACAAAAGCTATAGTGATAAAAACAAAATATCCAAATACAGGAAGTCTTTTTTACAAATATAGAGTACATTATCCAACATGAAAATATACTATAGTAAATACTAGTGTTGAATTTAATAAATGCAGTTATACAACAACTAACGTTATAGTAATACAAACCAAATGTCCAATACATTTAATTTCTACAACTGTATAGTATATGAATCCCACATTAAATATACTATAGCAAATAATATAGTGTTTTTGTACCATACTATAGTAAAATACTGTGTTGGTCAAGACAAAAACTCCTTTTAATATGGAAATATTCCTTCTATTGTGGGCCGTTGCTTTTATTTAGAGCACGGTTTAAGTAGTCAGGTTCGCTTCTGTTGGTATCGTCAATCTGGCAACCCGCGCTTGCATGTGTTTTGATCCAGGAGTGCAATACCTAGTTCAACCACTGGGTGTCAAACTTACATACAGCATCTTTAAATATTAGGAATTTAAAAAACGAATTAAATAAATTGAAAAGACGGGTGATGAAAACCTTGCAAATCGATATTGATGAAACGGAAACTGAATCATCTCTCCTTGATAGTTTATTTTCTTTACTTTTGTGAAAGCAAACTAACGTTAACGCACTGCAAATGTATGAAAAAACCCGTGTGCTGTTTTCCAAAGACGATCCTTTCTCTCTTTCAGCACTCATCTGTGAAGAGGTACAATGTTGCACCTGTTGACAGAAAAATAAAGGCTGCATTAATAATGACATTCAACTGATTGCTCTATTTATTAAATATGATAAATAATGTCATAGTGATCGACTGTAGTGTCGTTTAAAGTGCAGTGGTTGCCTCTAATTTTAAATCATGCAGATGGGCTGTGTTAAAGCAAATAAACATCTTCACCTACTCATAGTCTTTTTGTCTCTTTCTTGACATAAATTATATAAATGTATATGAATTATGTAAATGATGCACATAAATTATGTTTGAAGTAATCAGCATCGGTCCACTTGCTTTTAAAACATGGCTATGAAATTGGAACTTGAGAACATTCATTCGTTCATTTTTCGTTTGGCTTAGTACCTTATTTACCAGGGGTTGCCACAGCGGAATGAACCGCCAACTATTCCGGCATATGTGTTACACATAGGATGCCCTGCCAGCTGCAACCCAGTACTGGGAAACACCCATACACTCTTTCATTTATACACTACGGCCATATTTTGTTCATCCTATTCCCCTATAGCGCGTGTTTTTGGACTGTGGAGGAAACACACGCCAACACGGGGAGAACATGCAAACTCCACACAGAAATGCCAACTGGCCCAGACGGGACTCGAACCAGCAACCTGCATGCTGTGAGGTGACAGTGCTAACCACTGAGTCACCGTGCTGTAACTGTAACTTGACTTTCATGGTATGGTAATAGTCTCCGAAATTTACCCAAGCAGTCCTCGTCCAGACCACTGCTGCGGGGTCAAATTCAGATGCACTTCTTGTCCATTTCGGAAAACTCCAACACGGAGAGATTTCTGCCGGATAGGAATGAGAGAATAAATCATGAAGACACAATCAGGCTTTACTTTAAGGTCCTTTGAAGTGCTTTGAAATGTTTATTATTTTATTTGATGTTTGACATAATCTCAACTATAACCTGGAGAGAGGGCGGGGCATAGAGTAGACCACCCCCCCAAAAAAACAGCCAATAATAGTGTTTTGTTTTTAATCACAGCTCTGCCAGTGAGAGTGGTTGAGCTCAAGCGCATCAAATGAAAAGCAAATGAGCAGAAGGGGGCGGGGCATGTTACACACTTGACAGCATTTGATTGGTCAATAGATTTGATGAGAAACTGAAGTATGAGGTGACGTCAGACAAACTGTTGATCCATTTAGGTGGAAGTGACAAACTGCAAACTTTGGATGTTAATATCGGTTTTATATATTCTAAATGTGAGTTTTGTCACTGTTTTGGAGAACGCTAGCTATATGTAAAGACCAACATACAGCTACCAAAGAGCTTAGAATGGCCAAGAGGCGACACTCAATAGAACGTTCCATTGGAACAGCAGCGCCCAGCAACAGCCCCGGATTCCACCATTTTGGAGCGAAAGCGATCGGCTGTCCATTGGATCTTATTGCTGTCGTGATGGCGAGCAGCTGCTTTGTTTATTATTTATTTATTTATTTATTTATTTAAAAAGTGCATTAAAGCTTAAATACAACCTGAAAGACGACAGCACTTACTATGACAATCATCAGCACTTTTAACAGTTTATTTTACAGACTTATAATATGCTGCTGTTCTGTTGGAGTTTTCATTCCAAAATGGCCACCACGCCATCTAGTGGCTGTTTCCCAAATCGCACTAGAGTGTCGCCTCTTGGTGACTCTATGCTCTTTGCTAACATCTAAAAAACTTCATTTTAATTTCATGAGACCTTTAAGAATATAAACTGGAATGCAGAGTATTAAAAAAAGTGCTGCAGTTTTACGCTGAATGTAGAGAAGAACAACAAACCCCTTCACTGTGCTGGACAACAGAAGCGATGTCTCGGAGATTCCTGAAGTTTTGTGTATTTACCGAGCCAAACTCCATAATCTGATCACCGACATGCAAACCCTACAAACAGAGCAAACAACTGTTCAATGTAAAACACTTTCCCCTTGTGAAATATTAGTTATAAATGAACACCATCTGTTTGTTTATTTGTTTAACATCAGTTTGTGCCTTTATTTATTAATGTTTTTCTGCCGTTTGAGCAGCATTGGCTGTATTCCTGACAACACTTGTATTAAATATTCATTATATAATTTACAATTATAACTGTTTCGTCATGTGTTTGGCGCTCATCTTAAGCATCTTAAATCCTTTACAGCTTTTAATATTGAGGGTGCTTTCACACCTGTGAATCGATTCAGTTGTTCTGAAACAGAGATTAAAATTGTTACATTGTTGCTCTTTGCTCTTGGAGCGGTTCGCTTTCACACTGCAAAGTTTCTAATCGGACCAAAAGAGCTAAAACAAGTCACGTGCGAGTAAACTCTCCTCACATTGGTCAGTGTCAGGGTTTATTTTGCAGCGTCCCGCTCAGCTGTCAGGAGAGGTGGTGGTTTGGTGGTGATTGACAGGGTGCGCGCGATGTGTCTGAGGAGAGACGCGGTGGGGAGAGGTGAGAAGGGTGCGCGACGATGCCTATTTGAGGACCGGGAGGGAGACGCGAGATTACCGGGAGATCATCACTCGTTTGCGGGCATCCGGAGACTCGCGAAACTTCCTGCCCTACTCACAATTCTCTCTTCATATAGCTGTAAGCCTATTACATATCCATAAAACACTGTGATATAACCGCGCTCGGATCAGATCGCTTTCTCACTGCAATCAAACCGCTCCAGGGTTCGTTTCAATCGAGCCGAGACCACCTCATTCAAGCGATCTCGGAGCGATTACTTTGGCGCGGAACAGAGCGCGATTGCCCTGTTCACATATGCCAAACAAACCGCGCTAACTGGACAAACGAGACCCGTTCCGAAACAAAAGTGTAGGTGTGAAAGCACCCTTAGTTTTTTTTTAAATTGTATGCACATTTATATGTATTTCTGTATGTATTAGCCCCTTTCACACATACAGACTTTTCCGGAAAATTACCGGCAATTTTCCGGAAAGGTTGTATGTGTGAACAGGTGCTTTTTGCAAATACCGGTAAATCCATTCTGGCTATTTTCCGGAAAGAGAAGTTGTAACATTACCGGCAATTTGCCGGAATGCTGCGCTGTGTGAATGCAGAAGGAAGATTGCCGTAATAAGCGCGTGCACGTCTAGAACGTGCTGACGTGAGACGTCTGCTTTAGCCAATCAGAACAGTCAGACGCATTTACGTCCGCGCGGTTTATGAGAATAAAAGCCTTTGAATATTTTTCCAGACACATTTAGCTGCTAGAAGTTAGTCAGATCACGTTTATATGTTCTTCTTTATGCCAACTGTGTAAATAATCATCGATGAGATGCTTATGATAAGCCGTTGTTTGTTTACCTTCAAGCTTTGCGTGTGCCTGTGAAACTGCCTGTGAGCGCCTGCACACGCACATATTATGAACATCTCGACATGCAAAAGTGTTACTCTATATGTTTTCATCGAAGTTGTTCACAATATTGATCATCCACAGAGTCTGTAATGTAGTCAAATGTATACAAATACAAGCGCAGCCGTTTAAAGCTCATTTGTGTTGAATGATGTCAGAATGTACCGGTATTTTGGAATGGATGTGTGAATGCTCTTTTCCGGAAAATTTCCGTAACGTCCTCGTCTGTGTGAAAAGCGCTTTTTTGAATAAACCGGTAAAGTCGTTCCGGAAATTTTCCAGATATTTACCGGTATCACTGTGTGAAAGGGGCTATTATATCATCTTTGCATCAAATTACAGAAAGGAATCAGTGCTTGTGTGAGGTGTGTGTAATGCAGTGTGTATGGAGGCAGGACAGTAAATCTGACATTACTCTCTCTTCTGGCTGCCGTTATCAGTCTCACAATATTGTTTTCCTCTTTCTGGAAGTCTTGATAACACCATGGTGGAGTGTTTCTGTTATTATTTCAGCAAATAGGATTGTAAAGAGTTTATTTGTTGTACTCTCCCATTCACTGCGCTCTGAGTTTACCAACTATGATGACTTCTGCTGCTGAGAAACACACAAACGTGAAAAGAGTCCATACTGAACACGTTACGCTAATCAAACTCCAGAATATAAGACTAACTGAATATGCAACATTGCGTTTAGCGAATAGGCTAAATCTTCATGTTGTCAAACTCAGATCCTTGTTTACTTCTCTCTCTTTCTCTGTCAAAATGTACAATAATATTCTAAAGTGTTTGATGTTTGCATTCATTCATTCATTCTACTTTGGCTTAGTCTTATTTATTAGGGGTTGCCAAAGCGGAATGAACCGACAACTATTCCAGCATATGTTTTACGCAGCGGATGCTCTTCCAGCCGCAACACTTTCACATTTACATTCACTCATACAGTATGGGCAATTTAGTTCATCAATTCCCCTATAGCGCATGTGTTTGGACTATGGGGGAAACCGGAACACCTGGAGGAAACACACGCCAACACGAGGAGAACATGCAAACTCCACACAGAATGCCAACTGGCCCAGCCGGGGCTCGAATCAGCGACCTTCATGCCGTGAGGTGACAGTGCTAATCATTGAGCCACCTTGATGTTTGTAAAAAAAATATATATATAGCTGCAAGCAGCAATTAAGGGGCCAAGCACTTTTGACCAAAAGGTGGCGCTGCTCCAGAAGTTTTTAAGGACTTTCAGGACATGGGGTTAAAGATGCATACCATGTTTTGTAATGATATGTGAATGTGTTGGTAAAATATAGCATTTTTGACCAAAAATCGAAATGGTCGATGCCCAAAATGGCTGACATGTAAAAATCAGACATCACTCGGCTCGACATGCTCTGGCGGATGTAATGAGAGCAGTTTTATGAGTTTCGGACGAAAGGTTGAGGCGTTATAAACCAAAAAAGCAAGTTTTTTGTATCTCCGGACCACTAGGGGGCAGTGCACCGAAACTCCGCATATAACCTCAAACCCTAGTTGTCATAACACACACTAAGTTTGGTGTGAATCGGTGAATGCGTTAGGGAGATATCGTCTCAAGTCCATTTTCGCAAGTTCTATGTTAAATTTGATCGCAAGTTAAACGAAAACGGTTGGTCAAATCAACTTGAATTCCATAACTTTTGGTTGGCATGGTCTGTAGATCATGTGATTCAATTTTGGTGATAATCGGAGAAACGGTCTAGGACGAGTTCAATCAAATAGGTTTTTCGAAAAATTTAAAATAGCGCGAAAAAATTCATGAAGGAAAATGACGTCATAGGGTGCGTTTAAGTCGGACTGAGCCAAGGAATCAGAGGAAAAAAGAATTTTGATTGTAGCCCATTCGGTTCAAAAGTTATCATGATAAACATATGTGAAAGTTTGGACAAGTGGTGGCGCTAGAGAGTTTGATTTTGAGACTTCATATTTGGTCTGATTAATGTTGAGACTGGCCTCTATCATTGTGCCAAATTATACAACTTTCCCGCATACGCCTATATGGGCTGCCATTCAAATCCGGCGGAAGAAACGGAAGAAGAACACTAACGAAAGCAATAGGTGCCTACGCACCTACGGTGCTTGGCCCCTAAAAAAACAACTCACGGCCTGAGCAGCAGGAGATCCGTGTGTTACTGCATCCACCAGAGCGAACGGAGGCGGCGTCTCCACCGTCTGACCGCTGCTTTCCATCTGTGTGTCGTCCTGCTCATGTGTGACTTTGGCGGTGGCGTGAAGCTTATGCAGAGCCTCCTCGATCTCCACCATGATGGCCTTGTGATCGTTCTGTAAACCTTCAATAATTACCACAATCACACACCATTACAAATGACCAGCAGCCCTGTACACTACTAATATGCTGCAAAATAACAGCATTTACAACTGCTGAACTATATTCTAATGTTTTCGTATATTTATTTTTGCTGTAGGCTCCGTAAGTTATTATTAGTAGTAGTAGAACTTTATTACAGCTCATATTTTAAATGCTAATGTAGTCCTCTACCTGCAGAAGAGTCATTGAAAATCATTTTATCAATCTTTTTTTATTTCCTGCTTCATATGATCTACTTCCTGCTAAAGTCAGAGTGCATCGTAACCCAAATTTTCACCCCTACACATGTCATCCAGGTGCACTGTCAGAGATTTTATTGGTTGCATCATTTATTTTCCTTCGGCTTAGTCCCTTATTTATCAGGGCTCACCACAGGTTAGAGATCTTGCTGAACACTGTGTTGGGGTGATACTGAACACAGATAGGGGTGCAACTGCACATTTACTGATGGGTATGCGGCTTCAACTTTTGCACGCCCCCCTTCAATCCAACTATATTTTAAAACAGGCAAGTGATAAAATGTGGAAAATATTTCCATCAATAAATTAAAGATATTATTTCATAAAGATATCAATATGCTTAAAAAAACTGTTTCGCAGTTCTGAACACAACTGAAATAGTTTGAAGTATAGTAAAAGGTATAATTACATTAAGCATGTTAAGTCGCAAAGAAATGCATCTCATACCACCCCAAATGTCTTCTCAATTTAATTTTCACTTACTAAATGATTATAGCACCTTGACTAGCCTTGCTTTTGGACTTTTTGTACTACATTTGTCAAAACAAAATGATAGACATGGCAGTCCTAAAGGGCAAAAGAACATTGCAATTACTTCTCACATTCAGACTGAGGCAGAAGGTCTGTCTTTGCAAGAACAATTGACTGAAACTGCTAAAAGTGAAATAAAAAAGACTGTCAAATGTTTAGTGTAAAAAAAAAAACAGAAACCAACAGTGTGAAATGTTCTATTTAATTGAAATGTTATAACTTTGTTTGTAGCTAAAATTAAAATAGTTTTGAGCTAAGAAGTTACCAAAAGGCCTGATGAATCAATATGATACATAATTAATTAATAAAAACATGTATATGGTATAAAAAATAGGGGGAGGGATGGAATGATTTTTTAATTTAATAAAATACAATATTATACACGTATAAAATGCTAAATATTTTTTTTTAACAAAAAAAATATATACATTATTTGAAACTTTTAATATGGATAATTTCAAATAGTTTTGGCACAATGGCGCCCCCCATGTGCCCCCATACCCCCTTTTTGCGCCACTGAACACAGATACATGTGTACTCACAGGAGATGCTGTGTCTCGCTGTCCGCACTTTATACAGATCCACATCTGCACGGGGAAAACCTTCGACATCAACCAGAGGACCATCCATGCCTACACCAGCCTGCTGTCCACAACACACACAGACTATAACCGACCGTGAACAATGCTGTACTTTATTAGTCATTGGCTGCTATTACGATTTCCCCCTTTAGAATTAGCAAACAATCCTTTCCTGAAATTATATTCAGAAAGTTTAAGTCCAAATGTGTGTATATAAAACCAACTCTACAGCCCGATCTGATGTAAACATTCTTCCGTCCAAAGACTTAGTCAGGTGTGTTAGCGAAAATGTAAACACACTATGGCTAAAACGCTCCCTGTATGATGAACTTACAGACTCCAGCATGTCGTAATAAGCTTTAATCTGCTCCTCGATGTCATCTTTTCTCTTTATCAGCTGTCGCACATCCTCTTCAGTCATTCTGGACACAACAGCGCGGTTTTCCTCGCTCATTTTCATCACAGTGCCGCCAAACAGAACGCTACGAAACAGTCTTGAAGCGTATGAATTGCAGATTTTACTACTTATGTCTATAGAAATGGTCCAAATGCTTACTCAAAATGGTTAGGTAATTTCAGGAGCACTGAAAGTTGTCACAGTGTTTGTTTCTTCGTTGGATTCAATGCATAGCTGCAAGTGAACAGCGCCACCTATGTGCCGGAGAAAACAACAAACAAATAAATAAATAATAAACTGACTTGAATTAAATATTTTTTATAAAAATAAAATGTTATAAAATAACAAAAATAATAAAATAATTTTTTAATTAAATTAAATGTAAAAAATTATATAAAAATGTAATTAAATAAAACAAATAAATCAAATTTAAATAAAATAAATTAAATTGAAAATTTTAATTAAAAATAAGTATAAAATTTTATTTAATTAAAAATAAAAAAAACATTAAATGTAAAACTAAATTAAAATTAATATAAAATTACCAAAATATAAAATAAAATTTAAAATTTATATAAAATTAAATTTAAATTACAATAAAATCTACATAAAATAAAACAAATGAATAAAATAAAATTAAATGAATAAAAATTCAATGAAATAAAAATTATTTAAAATTTAATTAACCTTAATTAAATTTATTTATTTATTAAAATGAAAAAAAAATTATAAAATAAAAAATAATAGTTAATATTTATCAAAAAATATTTTTAATTTAATTTAATTTTAAAAATTACATAAAAATTAATAAAATTAAACTAATAAATTAAATTAAAATACATTAAATTAAAAATGCCATTAAATTAAATTTTTTTTTAAATTAAAATAAAATTAAATATAAAATAAAATGTAATTAAAAATTAAAAAATTTAACTAAATATAAAATTAAGTTAAAAATAATATAAAATTACAAAAATATAAAATTTTACACAAATTTCATATAAAATTAAATTAAATTACATTAAAACTAATTAAAATAAAACAAATGAATAAAATTAAATACAATTAAATACAATTTAATTAAACAAAATAAAAAATAAAATAAATCAGAAGTGGTTCCAAAAAGTGATTTTCTTTCTTTTCTTTTCTGTTAAGCACAAAATGAAGTATTTAGAAGAATGTTGCAAACCAAATACTAAGTGATAACACACTCTTTAAAATGTCTTTCATTGTGTTTAGCAGAAGAAACTCAAACAGGTTTTGGAACAAGTGTAGGATGAGTGAAATACAGTGACATTTATTTATGTAGTGTATTTCTTAATTCATGTTTATTAATTTATTCACTTTTTATTAATTTAGCCATGAAATAAAAACAGAGTATTAATATCGCACATTTCTAAACTGAAACTGCCATTCTACGATAAACTGGAACGATGGGCCTATTGTCTTTAAATAAAGAATTATTTAGCCCGATATAATTATTCGATTATTATTTATGTATATTAATATACGTTTAAAATATTTAGTGTTAAAGAATTTATTTATAAAATGAAAGCATCCGTCTAGTTGGCTATATGTAGCCAATGGTAAACTCACACAACACAGGCTCTTCGAAAATAAAAATCAATCTTTGCGCATGCTGTTGAACTCACATTCATTTATAGGTCTAAGTGCGACAAGGTGGCTCAGTGGTTAGCACTGTCACCTCACAGCAAGAAGGTTGCTAGTTCGAGTCCCGGCTGGGTCAGTTGTTATATCAGTGTGGAGTTTGCATGTTCTCCCCGTGTTGCCGTGGGTTTCCTTCGGGTGCTCCGGTTTCCCTCACAGTCCAAACACTTGCGCTATAGGGGAATTGATGAACTAAATTAGCCTTAGTGTATGAGTGTGTGTGTATGTGTGTGATTGAGTGTGTATGGGTTGCAGCTGGAAGAGTAAAACATATGCTGGATAAGTTGGCGGTTCATTCCACTGTGGTGTTTCCCCGTGATGAATAAAAGGACTAAGCCGAAAGAAAATTAATAAAATCCAGGTTAAAGAAAATAAACCTTTGAAATGTACACACACAATTCTGAGTCAATGCCGTATCCCGAAAAGAAACGAAGGCACCAAAGCACCGTATTTTGTATTCAAAAGCCAATGCAGATTTTATATTAAAGATAGAAAAAAGAAGCAAAAGTAAATCACTGTCACACACAGTTTTGTTAGTATCGCAAAGGAGAACTACATATACAGCATCTTCATATTTACATACAAGTTACAACCAACAAAAACCGTATAAATATATCTTAGTTAACTTACAGCAGTTACATGAGACTGAAATTTCAGGAACAAAACAATAAAAAAAGCACTCTGTTAAATAACTGGCACCAACCCTACGGACAAATGAAGTGGTTATAGAGTTTAAAAACGCATGAATCAAATTAATGCATGTTTGTTCAAAAGACTCAGATATACAGTTGACTCCGCCGTGAAGATTTCAGGATTTCAGGTCCGGACAAAGGAGGAAAAGGAAAAACTTAACGGCATCAAACAATCTGAGCTGCCGAGACCAAGAGAAAGTAGCGAGGCCTAAACGCACCGTGTGTTTTAGCAGCAAAAACATCGTCCTGAAGCTCGGAGAACTCACTCCGAGATGGTTTAGAGAACTCAAACACATCCGTAAGGGTTCGTTACAATCCTCCAATAATCTTTACAGAAAAAAAACCGCGTACAAAAGCATCAGAAAACATTTTTAAACAGGTCAATCTCACAAAACAACAACTGCAGAGTCACATTTAACCCAAATTAAATTCATATTAATATTTTTTTTGCATAATAAAAAGTCTTTGCTGTTCAAAACCTATCATTATTATAATTAATCTTGTTTTATCATACATTTAATGGTGTATGTATAAAATGCACAATAAAAATAATACCATGATGCAGAAATACTTCAGAATTAAAAAACAATTTTATGCTGACAAATGCTTAAACTCTTACAGATAACTGTACTTTTTATATTCATTTTGGGGTAAATGTGAGCTGGACATGTTCCTGATAGGTTTTGTGACATTAACCCATTCACTTACATCATCATTATTATTATTACAGCCTTAATTATTTCATGAACAACCCAATCCTGTGTAAGTGCAAGGTGCTTTGCAAATTCAGCTTTTTATTTCTGTTTTGCTTGCTAAATGAAACTCATATTTAATATCAAACTTGTACCATATATATATATATATATATATATATATATATATATATATGCATGTATGTGTGTGTGTGTGTGTGTGTGTGTGTGTGTGTATATAAATATATATATATATATATATATATATATATATATATATATATATATATATATATATATATACATATATATATACATACATACATACACAGTTAGAACCATAAATATTTGGGAATCGACACAATTCTAACATTTTTGGCTCTATACACCAACAAAATGGATTGGAAATGAAACGAACAAGATCTGCTTTAACTGCAGAGTGTCCGGTTTAATTTGAGGGTATTTACATCCAAATCCGGCGAACAGTGCAGGAATTACAACAGTTCGCATATGCGCCTCCCACTTGTTAAGGGTCCAAAAGTAGTTGGAAAGAGTGCAGACTGTCAGCTTCAATTTGAGGGTATTTACATCCAAATCAGGTGAACGCTGCAGGAATTACAACAGTTTGCATATGCACTTCCCACTTGTTAAGGGTCCAAAAGTACTTGTAATTAAGCATTAAGTAAGTAAAAGTAATTCAGATCGCTGGGTGTCCGCAATCTGGGTGTCATCTTTGATGAGTCATTGAAACTCGACAGACAGATCAGTTCGGTTATTGGCTCCAGTTTTTATCAACTACCTCTGCTGTCTTAATTTAAACACTTTTTAAATCCCACCGCTCTAGAGATGGCTGTCCACGCATTCATTACCTCACGGTAAGATTACTGCAATGCACTTTACTGTGGCATGTCAAAGTCCCAGGTTTCTCGCCTTCAGCTGGTCCAAAACACTGCTGCTAGATTTCTATGTAATTGCAGTAAATATGACCACATTACCCCTCTTCTAAGAGGCCTTCATTGGCTGCCTGTGAAATTCAGAATTGATTTTAAAGTGCTTTTACTGGTTTATAAATCCCTCCATAATCTAGCCCCATCCTATCTCTCAGAGCTGCTTCATCCTTACACTCCTGTGAGATCTCTCAGGCCGAGTGAGCAGAATCTTCTTTGAGTTCCACAGACTAGGCTGAAACGTAGAGGGGACAGAGCTTTCTCTGTGGCAGGTCCTCGGTTGGAACAAATTGCCCCTTGAGATTAGAATAGCTCCATCATTATCCATTTATAAATCACTTTTTAAAAGCTACCTTTTTAGCTTGGCTATTTAGTATTATTTTAATAGTTCATTCTACCACAATTTTTACAGCCGTTTCGCTTGCTTTATTTCTATGTTTAATATTCTGTCTTTTTATTTTTTTCCCTTGTCTTATGTACAGCACTTTGGTCAGTCTTGTGACTGCTTTTAAATGTGCTTTATAAATAAATGAACTTGGACAGAGTGCAGAGTGTCAGCCTTAATTTAAGGGTATTAACATCCAAATCAGTTGAACGGTGCAGGAATTACAACAGTTTGCATATGCGCCTCCCACTTGTTAAGGGTCCAAAATTCATTTAATTTCAAATCCATTTTGTTGATGTATAAAGCCAAAAATGTTAGAATTGTGTCAATGTCCAAATACTTATGGACCTTAATGTATGTATATATATATATATATATATATATATATATATATATACATATATGTATGTATATATATATATACACACACACACACACACATATATATATATATATATATATATATATATACATGTGTGTGTGTGTGTAAATATATATATATATATGTCATGATCTAATTAAAAACTGGTTTCACCTTTGAGAAAATAACTGTAATACTCTTTAAAACGGCCTGCGATGTATTAGGAAATATTCAGTGTAACCAAAAAGTAAAATAAAAAAGCAGGTTCTTCATGAGTGTGTGAATTCTGTCCTTTGGCACCATCACAAAGAGTCTCTCAACAGTCCTATCGCTTGTAAAAACTACTTCAAGAGAACAAAACATTAAAAAGCCGATCCAAAGTACACAAAGTTCATAAATACACTTGCTGATGACGTCGAGATGAAGCTCTGGATGCGGAGCGTTGATGAAACCCAACAGATATCACCCGCTCGCTTTAGAAAACAGGAGCGGTTTTCTTCAAAAGCGTCTCTCTTGCTCAATACAAAAACATCTGTCAGTGTGTCTGTTTGTCCACTCCAGACCTCCAGAGGGCAGTATAAAACTTGATGCTGAAAGCAGATCGGCTGGGGGGTTTGTTCATCAATGTCAGCGTACCGTCATTATTTTACATGTATCAGAGTGATGGAAATGTTCAAGTATGAGCTCCGTACAGGGAATTTTGGTTGATGGGGGACTTATGATGAAGTATAAACACTGGCGGTCAAACATTTGGGTTAAAAGAAGCTTATTTTTGCACACCAGGACTGCATTTATTTGATCAGAAATATTATTTAAAAAATGAAATATTATTACGATTTAATGTAGCTGCTGTATTATTGGATGCAGATTGAAATGTAATTTATATCTGTGATTTAAAGCTGATTTTCCAGCATCAGTACTGTCTTCAGTGTCACATGATCCTTCAGAAATCACTCTGATTGGTCGATTTGCTGTTCTGTTATGATCAATTATTATTGGCATTGATTCTTATGTGTTGAAAGAATTTAGTGTACGTTTAATAAACATGTATGTTGAATTTATTTGACTTTTTAGGATTTTTTGAGGACAATTAAAGCATATAATCGGAATGAAATCTTCTTTATAAATGTGTTTACTTTCACTATTCAATGCTTTAATGCATGGGTCTCAAACTGGATTTCTGGAGAGCTCTGCAGATTTAGCTCTAACCCTAATCAAACAGCTGGCCACACAGCTGATCCAAATAATCAAGGTGTTCAAGACTACTAGAGATTATTAAGCAGGTGTGAGTTGGAGGTGTTGGAGCTAAACTATGCAGAGCTGCGGCCCTCCAGGAATCCAGTTTGAGATCATTGATTTAATGTGTCCTTGATGAAGAGAAAAACAGTTTTAATTGTACTTTAGCGCAGTTTATATAAAAAATCTAAGGCATCCCAACAATTTTCAGTACTAATAATAATGGTTTCTTGAGCAGATTATTCTTGAGATCATCAAATATAAACTGATTTACTGTTCTGTTATGATCAATTATTATTGATATTCACAATCATTAATAATGATTCATGAATTCTTTTCAGTGTTCCTTCCTGCTTCATAGTTTGTGGAAACTGGGACACATTTTATTTCTTAAGAAAGTTCATAATAAAACCATATATTTGGAATAAAATATTGTACTTTATGAATGCATTTACGTTAATTGATTTCTAAAGAAACACATTTTAAGCAGACACTTGTAAAATACAGCAGCTTACATTAAAACAAAGTTTTAATTTAAAATAATAATATAAAAAATAACATGTATAATTATATTAGATGATAACAATATATATATATATATATATATATATATATATATATATATATATATAATAAAAACAAACAATGAAAATTTATGATAATAATAATAGAAATAATAAAAAATTATATATATATATATATATATATATATATATATATATATATATATATAGCAATAGTAAACATTTTATTTTATTAAAAACAAAACCACAATAAAATAATAATAATAATAATACAATAATAACAATATTCATAGCAATAAAAACAAAATAAAATTTTTAAATTTAAATTATTGATAATAATAATAGCTATAATAACAACATTAGTAAAATAAAATATATAGCAATAGTAAATATTTTATTTTATTAAAAAAAAAAAACAATAAAAAAACAATAATAATATAATTTTCATCATTATTATTATTACTATTATTATCATTAACAACAACGTCACATTAATAATAATAATTTCTTGAACACCAGATCCCCACACTATAATGATTTCGGAAAGAAATCGCTTGACACTGAAGACTGCTGAAAATCCGCAGTAATAAATTACAACTGAATCTACATTCACTAAGCAAGCATTTCCTTCAAACAGCAATAACATTAGACAATTGCACAGTATTTTAGATCAAATGCAAGTATCCTCGTTCTCCTTTTAACAGCATCTCATGATCCCAAATGTTTTACCGCTGCTGTCTGTATGTGTACTTGTTTTTATATCCAAGTGGGCACCGGAATGCAGACAGACTCATGGGGACTTGTGTCACCGTGGGGACTAAAATTGAGATCCCCAATGGCTAAACATGCGTATAAATCAGTGTTTCCCAACCCTGTTCCTGAAGGCACGCCAACAGTACATATTTTGGATGTCTCCCTTATCTGACCCATTCATTTCAGGCTGTTTTGGTGAGTTGATTCAGGTGTGTTTGATTAAGGAGAGGTTGAAAATGTGTACTGTTGGTTTGCCTTTAGGAACAGGGTTGAGAAACACTGGTATAAATCACACAGAATGAAGTATTAATGAAAATATAATATGAAAATGCAGATTGTTGAGGGTTGGGGGTTTTTAGGAGAGAGAATATATGGATTGTATACTGGAAACATCATTACGTTAGTCCCCACAAGGATATAAGAACAAGTTTCTGTGTGTGTAATTGTGTGTCCCTCAGACCTGGCTCTCGGTGGAGGTTTTACGCTGGTGTCTCCAGCCGGTGTCTGGATGTGTGTTGTGATGTGCAGTGGTGCTGATGCTGGAGCACTCAGACTGATGATCTCCCTCCTGCAGGAGCTGCTCTGTTTCTCCATCGTTCAGAGACGCTGAGCTGGCCTGCAGAGACACGGTTTCAGTGCGCATGCAGTTGTGGAGACCAGACCCTCTGCACGCCTTCAGCTGCCGCAAGTCTTCCCAGTACAGATCCTCTCCCGACAGCAGACACACTCCTTCCACAATGCGGATCTTCTCCTTAGTGTAGCCTCCGTCCACCACACCCTGAACCTGCACATGCAGAGCCACACATGTGAAGAATTATTCGCCCTCCTGTGCATTTTACAGATATTTCCCAAATGATGTTGAACAGATTCAGGAATTTTTCACAGTATTTCCTATAATATTTTTTCTTCTGGATGAAGGCTTATTTGATTTATTTTGGCTAAAATAAAAGCAGATATAATTTTTTTTACACTCATTTTAAGGTCAATATTATTACCCCCCTTAAACAATAGTTAATATAATACAGTTTACATAATTCAGTATATAATACCCCCACTACACCCCCGTTTTACCCTTAAAAGTAGGGGTGCCCAAACTTTTTCTTATGACGGGCCAAAAACCCAACTTGATTGAGGGCTGTGTGCCGAAGGCAAAAATACCAAACTGTGACACCCCATTCACACGGGGCTTCAGCGTCAACGCTTGACAGAGGGCGTGTCTGAAGTTCCGACCGTCATAGAAGCATCAGCCAATGAAATTAGTCAGCAATAGGCCACTGTCTGAGCTGGTGTATTTGCATACAGCGATCTGATTGGCTGATGCTTCCGTTGGCGCTTGAAACACTGAGAAAGTCCAAACTTCTGCAGCGAGCAACGCCTCTGAAGCGGCGCCGAAGAATCCACAATGCAGTTCGGGAACGCCTGACGTCACCCATTCAAAGTGAATAGGAAGCGTTGAAGCTGACGCCCCGTGTGAATGGGGCGTAATACATTAAAGTTTCCATGAGTAATTTCCTAATATTTAAAAATAAGTACACACACACACACACACAGTTGAAGTCAGAATTATTAGCCCCCCTGAATTATTAGCGCCCCTGTTTATTTTTTTCCCCAATTTCTGTTTAATGGAGGGAAGATTGTTTCAGCACATTTCTAAGCATAATAGTTTTAAAACTAGGCAGGTTAGGGTGATTAGGAAAGTTATTCTATAACGATGGTTTGTTCTGTAGACCATCGAAAACAAAATTAGCTTAAAGGGGCTAATAATTTTGTCCCAAAAATAGTTTAAAAAAATTTTTTAAACTGCTTTTATTCTAGCTGAAATAAAACATAAGACTTTTTCTAGAAGAAAAAATATTATCAGACATACTGTGAAAATTTCCTTACTCTGTCAAACATCATTTGGGAAATATTAAAAAAAGAAAAAGAAAATCAAAAGGGGGCTAATAATTCTGACTTCATTATTTATATATATATATATATATATATATATATATATATATATATATATATATATATATATATATATATATATATATATATATATATAGATAGATAGATAGATATATAGATAGATAGATATAGATATATATATATATATATATATATATATATATATATATATAAAATGGAAATCTAAATTTCTAACATCTTATTCCAAATGAACAATAATCTACGTATAACTGAAAAGTTATTTTCTTTGGTTTTTAATTACATCATTTCATTGACATGCCATATAGGAGGGACATTTAACCTTTGCCTTGCTTACTACAGACTTCATTTATATGCCAAAGTGATGTAATTAATGGTTTCACAGCGTGGCTGTATCTATTGTATTCCCTGTCTCCAGAACATCATTTGCACATTGTTGTAATGATGTACTTATCTATTGATGAGATCAGCATGGCACCCAGACTTCATTTGCATGCTTTGTTTGACTGTCCCCCATGACTGACCCCACCTACATGCTGTAACATGTATAAAATGTATTATGTTTTGCTGTGGAGTTGAGAGTTTGCTTTCGATGACGCCACAGCCACGCTGAGTTCCTCTTATTAAAAAGGATTCTGCTTTGAAGACAACCGAAAGATTCTCCCTGGTTTTTTGTGGGCTCTTAGAAGTTTACAACAATATATATATAATGAACTTATTACAGTAAAACCTTAACCAGCCTTTTAATAACATAATGAAGGTTAATGCACTAAGCTGCATCTGCCTTTGCGTCAGGGGCGGATGGGGTGGCGCAGTGGGAAGCACAATCGCCTCACAGCAAGAAGGTTGCTGGTTTGAGCCATGGCTGGGACAGTTAGCATTTCTGTGTAGAGTTTGCATGTTCTCCTTGTGTTGGTTTCCTCCGGGTGCTCTAGTTTCCCCCACAGTCCAAACACATGTGGTACAGGTGAATTGGGTAAGCTAAATTGTCTGCGGTGTATGTGTGTGAATAGGTGTTTCCCAGTGATGGGTTGCAGCTGAAAGGGCATCCGCTGCGTAAAACATATGCTGGATAAGTTGGCGGATCATTCTGCTGTGGCAACCCCAGATTAATAAAGAGACTAAGCCGAAAATGAATGAATGATGTCCCAGCTGGGTCAGTTGGTGTTTCTGTGTGGAGTTTGCATGTTCTCCCCATGTTGGTGTGGGTTTCCTCCGGGTCCTCCGGTTTCCCATACAGTCCAAACACATGCGCAATAGGGGAATTGGATGAACTCAATTGGCCGTAGTGTATGAGTGTATGTGAATGTGAAAGTGTATCGGTGTTTCCCAGTACTGGGTTGCATAGACTGTGTAAAACACATGCTGAAATAGTTGCCGGTTCATTCTACTGTGGCAACCTGTAACGTCCAATGTATAGGTCTTTCTCAATACTGTGTTGTGGCTGAAAGGGTATCCACTGCATACAACATATGCTGGAATAGTTGGCGGTTCATTCCGC